CGACGCCAGCAGACAGTCGCCCGCGGATGACGTGCCGGAAGCCACGCTGCACGAGGCGGACGATGAGCGCGTGCAGCGTAGCTTCGTCGACCTCAACCGAGCCGGTGCTGGGCTGATGGAGATCGTCAGTGGGCCGCAGATGCGCACGCCCGAGCAGGCCGGCGCGTACGTGCGCAAGCTCCAGGAACTCGTTCGCCGCGTCGGTGCTTCGGACGGAAACATGCAGGAAGGCTCACTGCGCTGCGATGTCAACGTGTCGGTCAACCGCGTAGGCGAGCCGTTCGGCACGCGCTGCGAAGTCAAGAACCTCAACAGCGTCCGCTTCATGATGAACGCCATCTCCCACGAGGCTCATCGCCAGGTACAGCTGCTCGAGCAGCCGGGAGGTTGCGTCGAACAGGAGACCAGGGGCTACAACGAGTCTAATGGGACAACGTTCCGGCTTCGTGGCAAGGAGGATGCGCCGGATTACAGGTACATGCCCGATCCGAACTTGCCGCCGGTTTTGCTGTCCGAGATGCAGATCCAGGAGCTTAGGGATAGGCTTCCCGAGCTGCCGGATGCCAAGCGCGCGAGGCTGAGCAAGCAGTACGGCCTGGCGAGCCGCGACATCAATGTGCTCATGCGCGTCGGATCCGAGGACGACAGGGACGGTCGCATGGTTGCGTCCGTTGGCGACGCAGAGGATGGCCAGCTAAGCTCGGATGCAGTCGAGTACTTTGAAAGAGTGGCAGAGGGGAGGAACGCTCAGACCGCCCTCAACTGGATCATTCACGAGCTCATGAAGGGCCTCAACGCCAGGAACTTGCCGTTCAGAGAGTGGTACCTGCCCGCCAACTACCTCGGCCAGCTCATCGACCTTGTAGAAGCCGGGCAGGTGACTGGTACTACGGCCAAGGCTGTTATTGCCGACGTGCTTTCGTCCGCCAGCACGTCTTCGACTTCAGACATCTCGTTGGCGGAGTTGGATCGTCTGGCGCAAACCTCTTCGACGCCGGTATTCGATCTGCTGCAGAAGCAAGAGCTGTTGGCCCTCGCCACCACGCAGGACCTGCTCCCACTCGTCGAGTCGGCATTCCAGCGTCTGCCGGACGAAGTAGCCCAGGTGCGCAAGGGCAATCTCAAGGTCGCCATGCGCATCGTGGGACAGGTCATGAAAGACGCCAACGGCCGTGCAGATGCCAAGCTCGTCCACTCGACCATTCTGCAGCAACTCGCACAACCTCCGTCCTCATCATAGACACAGTCACCTCTAATTGCAGGCAATGCAACAACACGATAGCATTGTTCGAACCATGGCGATAGAAGAGGGGAGAACTCAGGCCTGGGCTTGGTCGCGCACATCTTTGGTGACGGGCTTTCTCTGCTTGAACGTGCGTGCCTTTTCCATGCCGGATTCGGTATCGATGTCGGTGCCGAGTTTGTCGGCCTTGCGCTTGCGTTTTTCGAGCTTGTCCTTCTGCACGCGTGCACGCTCGACCTTCTTGAGGTAGTCCTTCTGCTCGTACGCCGACTGGCTCAGTTCGGTCCTGAGTCTTGCCGAATGGCTCGCACGTTCTTGTGCCATCTGCTCCGAAAGCATGTGCCACTTGAAGCCCTTGAGATACTTCATGGTCCACACGTCATCCTGGAATCGCTTGCTGCTCTTGCCCATCTTGCTGCTACCCCCGCCCGTACCCGACTTCTTCGAGTTGCTCGCTGCAAGACCCCCGATCGGTTGCGCGTTGAGCATCTCGGCTGCGGCTTTGGCCACTTTCTTCGAGGTGAACTCGACCCAGCCCTCGGTGTAGTGCGCCACACCGCGCTTCTTCTTGGACTCGCCAGGCTTGCTGCCGTCTTGCAGGTAGATGCGTCCCAGCTCGCCAAAGTTGGACAGGATGTGGCGCACTTTGGCCGGAGTCATGCCGGGTGGGATGCGCGAGATGTACACGATGCCCAGCTTGCGCTGCTTCTTCTTGAACGCCTCCAGCTCCGACGCCGAGAGCGGCTTGATGATCTTCTCCTCTTCCGCCTCCGCCTGCATTGGGTCGTCCTGAACGTGCTCCTCGGCGTCGTACTCCGACTCGCCAGCGTCGCTCGCACTGCGCTCTGCCTCGTCCTTCTCCTTCTTCTTCTCCTTCTTCTCCTTCTTCTCCTTNGCGTCGCTCGCACTGCGCTCTGCCTCGTCCTTCTCCTTCTTCTTCTCCTTCTTCTCCTTCTTCTCCTTCTTCTCCTTCTTTTCCTTCTTTTCCTTTTTCTCCTTCTTTTCCTCCTTGGAGTCCTTGCTCTCGGCGGGCGCCTTGTCTTCCTCGGCGTCATCGTCTTCCCTCTTCCTCTTGCCGTTCACTTCCTTGGACGAGTCCGACTTGCTCGGTGTGGGTGCCTCGACAGCAGGCTGGGCAGGCGACTCGGCCGCCTTGGCAGGCGTGTTTGCTTGCGAGCCCTTGGCCTGCTTGCTGGGCGTGCCGTTCTGGCCATTTTGACCGTTCTGCTGGTGCTTAGGTCCGCGGTATACGCTCCTCTCGTACTTCTCCGCCTCGCTGACGCACGTGTTGTGGCTCTTGAACTCGTCCGGGCTGTTGAACTGCTGCGAGCAGTCGAGGCAGGTCACGGGCGCCCAGCAGCGGTTAAAGTGCTGCAGCAGCTTGGGCTTCTTGACCACATCGCCGCAGCCGTCGCAGTTGAACGACACCATAATGAGCCTTAGGATGTGAAGGTAGTGTCTAGGGTAATGGTGCTTCGTAGGAAGGTTGGGATGCGGCTCTTCCAGAATTTGTGGTCTCTGCAGTGACACTTCCACGGCTTGGACCCACCACGCGAAATTTGTGCGCAGCAGCTTGGAAAATTTGTGGTCGGAAGTCGGAACCCGGATTGAGGGCACACGACACGCCCTGCACCCTGAGCGCTCTTCTGCCGGCCGGGTACCTTGACCTGAGGCTCTTTTGTGCCTACCATCATCTGCTTTCGCACCCTCGACCGTCTTCTCGTCAATTGATGACTGACGTGCGTTTGATCTGTCTTTTGCGGCAGTTTCCAGCCATTCTGAGACAGCCATTCAGTTCAGCTCTGGAATTCGAGCAGCATCTTTTTGGAGTGGGTTATCTCGCAAAATGCGGCCACAAATTGTGGTCGAAAATGGCATCGAGGCAACAAATTGCATGGCACTCGGCCCTACGCTGTGCAAGCAATTGCATCCAAGTGCATGGTGTCTACGATCAGCTATGATCAAGCTGCCCGGCACTGCGAGAGTCACATGCTGGCTCACTCGAGCAGCAGACGGAGAGCAGCCGGATCGGGAGATCGCCAATCGCGAGATATGCGTCGCAAGTAACCCGATGTGACTTCTGGTAGTCTGGCGTGATTTTAGCGAGGGGTTCCTTTCTACAGTCACATCGCGTGAGGAAGTGTTGGTCTCAGAGCCGCTGCTGCGCCTCGGCAACGCGTCGGAAAGGGCAGACGAGCCGGTCCACACTGCTCGCTTCGGCGCTCCCGCAGCTTGAGCATGCCTTGCTGATCCTCGCGTTCCAGCAAGCAAGGATCTTCAACGCATCGCACGTACAGGGCAGGCCGCGCTGCAGGCGCAGAAGCTGCACGAAAGATGGACGGAGACACGTTGGCTGGAGCACCCGGACGGATAGCCCAGGGCGCCTGCAAGCCTGCTGCGCTTCGGCGAGCTGACTCGGGTCTTGACGTGTTCAGTGAGAACGATGCGCCAACATCACCGAGCAAGAGTTCGCGCCCGGCAAAGGCACAGCAGATGGATGTTAGAAGTCGCCGAGGCGGCGATGAACAGCGTGCGCACGACTCGGCGGCCTGAGACCCACGCACTCGACACATGCGCAGCAAACCGACAGCTGCGCGCGATACGGAATGCTCATCGTGGCATTGGCTTCAGGAAGCTTTACTCGATCCTGACCCCGCCCATCCCGAAGCGCCGCTCGATCCTCATTCTCGGAACATTCGGCTGCGCGAATGCGAAACTCATGAACCATCTGACAGGTTGGCCATCTGAACTCGACCGCAGCGTGACCGTGAAGCTTATGGAAACGTCCAGACGAGGAGGTAGAGACGCAGAAGGCGGAATTCGATGGCCAGGCACATCTGATCTAGTTCTCGTCACGGGTTCAGCGAACCATCAAGCTCGCCAAGCTCGCCACGTCAATTGGTGCGGGCGGCGGACGCGCAAGATGTCGAAGACACAAACAAATCGCGAAGCGCACAAGCGAGGAGTACGCACGCCTTCTCGTCGCAAAACGAAGCAGAGTGTGGAAAGCGACAACCCGGCGGTGGTGGATTTGTTTGCAGCGATCTCGAGCAGACGCACGCGAGGTTCGCGTAGCCAGCCTCTGCACGCCCGACTGGCGACCGCTTCCCGCCTCTTATGCTCCATCGCTTCGCTATGATAGCAGCTCGGCTTTGCAGCTGGAAGGCACCTCATAAAGTCACACTTGCCCAAAGTCAGCGCCTTAGCGCCATCGGCTGCCTTATGCAGATCACGTCGCAAGGAAGCAGGCGAACCAGGCATCGTGATCTGCTGCATGATCGAGGAATAAGGTATTGCACAGACGTTCTCCGTCAAGCGGCCTCGGCAAGCTGGGATCCCAAGCACAGTGGGCGCAAATATCCTAGCGACGGCCTGGACCCTTGGCCACGCCCGCTGCCAGGGGTCGAGCTGCCTCCGACGCACGAGCTCTCGGTCATTTCTCACCGTGAGGCCGTGAACTCGTCCGTCGGCTGCTTCCCCGTCTGGGATTTTCGGCGGTGCAGACAAGAGGCAGCCAGATCGACAGATGCTGGACAAAATGCAAAGGTGCAGATCACAGCGAAAAGGTGCCACTCCAGCGCAGCAGGCGGCGAGAGCGCGTCGGTGGCAGCTGCTGGAGGTGCATCGAGGTGCATATTTTAGACCGAGGCGCATCAGCCCAGTGTGAGAATTGAGACCCATCGCCGAGCGGACCCTTGCGAGGGCGACTTTGCCGACCAGCGCGACAGCAGATCAGGGTCGCGTCTCGGAAGAAGCTGCAGCAGGTGCAGCGGCTGCAGCTGCAACAGCTGTTTGCAGGACCGCTCGCCTCGGATGTCCCGAACCACGCTTCGCTCGACGCTCGCTACTGCGCACGACAAGCACAAACCTTTCCGCTGCAAAGCCGCGTTGACCATGGATACTCGCCTTTCCTGTAAGCTGCACTCGAGGCGAATGTGCGACTGCGGCTGCTCCGGCTTATGCGAACGGCGGCGCAGAGGAGAGCTTCTTGCACCTCAGCCGGACACGCCCGCTTGGCCGAGCAAACCAGCAAGTCAGACTCCACGCCGCCGTCGTTTGCTGTTCCCCGACCGATCGCGTCGAGCTGCAGCTCATGTCCGAGGCTCCGTCTTCCTGCCCTTCCGGCTACGAAACGCCCTTCCCATCCCAGCTACGGCCAGCTTCGAGGCCGACCCGCATACATGTCACCGAGCTCTTCCCTCAGCCATGAACGCATGCCACTACGCAGTCTCCGCTTGAGCTTGTCTTGCGACAGCAAGCCCTCCACACTCAGCATTGCAATTGCTTTGTGCTTCGCTCTCGGTCTTCGTCTCTCCGCAGCCGCACGCTGCCCGTCGGACCTGCATCATACTTTCCTGGGCCGCATCACTTTGCTCCTTCCGAGCGGTACACGGCCATCAGCATAAGCGCCAGCCCGCCTTCCAGGAACCGGTGTCATCTGCTCGGACTCACCGCGTCCTGCTCACTCGCTGCACATCACTTACGGCTGTACCTGCTGCACGTCAAGCTCTGCTGCCCGAGCCCTTCAAACCTAGCCATCTTTCCGACATCATCGCCTCCCATCCTCGCTCTGCCTGCAAGCCACTGCCCCTCCAATCCCCGCAGCTCCATTCGCACAATCGTCGGAGCCTCACCGAACAAGCTTCGTCCGCCGCAGTTCTCATCCGACGCGATCATATGCATACCTGATCGACATTGCTTCCGAGCGGACCTCAGTCGTGCAGATCCACGCGGCCTGCACCGAAGTCGAGACGGCCAAGGCGATCCTGGACGTCTCTGAATCCTGCGCATGGGCAGCTCCTCACTTTATCTCTCCCTCCAAGTCATCGTCTCGTCCTCTCTCCAAGCCGCTCCTGTATACCCCACCCTTGCCCTGGGATTGCCTCGCGGAGAGTCAATAGTCAAGACCATCATCGCGCCCGCCAAGACCTTGCAAGGTATATACCCTTCTCCCTTCGCCATCATCAGCCTGCTTTCCCCCCTTTCTCCATCAGTACCACTCTCCTCTCTCCTTCTCGAACCCTCTCCCCTTGCAACTCCATACTCCCCTCTGCTCCGGCTCCACCAGATCGACTCACGATCCACCACACTCTTTTCTCTCCCGGCTCTCGATCGTCTTCTCCAGCTCGACAGCCCAATCACGCTCATTTGCAAACCCACATTCATTTCGAATCGACAAAGATACTAGACCGATCGTCTGCTTCCTGTAAGTAAACACCATTCAGCATCAGGAAGGGCTAGGATCGGGGGACCATGCATCAGCAGAGCAATCGACCACACAAACATTCTGGTTCTCGCAACGCACCTTGGCTTGCCACGACACGGAACTGCGAACTGTACCTGCTGGACAGAAGATGGCTGCGTCAGGGGTGCAAAGCATCGAGTCCATCAGTAGATCAGCGCGTATGATCGGAGGCAAAAGGGGTCAGCTTTATCGCGCGGGCCATCACCTGGAGTTGGTACTCGAGCTGGCTCAGCAGCTTCGAATAGGGATGTGGTGGGCGACCGGTTGAAGACACGCCGAAGGAGGCATGGATGCACTTATATCTGGCGTGGTCTGGAAGAGGCCTGGAGATTTTGACACTTCGAAGCACTTCACGACATGCGAAAGAGCTCCCAGTACTGACAACCAACTCTCTGTCTCTCTTCCCTTTTCCTCCTCCGATCTGTTCGCTGCGTCCTGGCTGCGCTTACTCGCATGACCTCGCCATACCGGACGTCTCACCTTCAATGCCACCGTCTGCTGATCCATCGACTCGACGTGCTCCTTGCCCATTCCTCTCGGCATGTGCGGCGGGTTCCATCGCTTCGTTGGTGCTCCTTGCATCCGGCTCACACGCGACCCCTCGCTTGACACCTTGCGACTCGGGTTTGACATCGCGCCCGATTTTTGTTGATCTGAACGCGTTGCGCCGACCTCGATCGGCGATTTCCATTTTTCGACATTTTCCGTCGCTGCGCCCGCTCCGCCTCGCCCCTTGCCTGGCATGTCGACCTGCACTCGCACCCCTTGCCGATCTTCGATTTGGACCCGACACCGCGGCGTAACTACTGCTCTGGCCGACATGCCACGACATGCCACACGCTTTGCTCATATCGCGCATTGCGTATGCAACCTCTGTGGCTCGTCCTCGCACCGTGCATGCCCAATGTCCGGTGCCCCTGCGCTCACTTGTCTCCGACTCCGATACGCACTGATGCGCTGGGTTCTCGGTGCATGCGATGTCGCTGCCTCTCACCAATGTGGCATTGTTGCTCCGCCTGTCAAACTGTGCGCTCGTCGCCATGCATGCCTTCGCTTACGCTCCACCGCCCGTACCTGGCAACCCCTGCGCCCGCCCGCCCGC